AGTTTTCCTCTCTCCCTCCCCACACAGTTATACTTGAAGTCCTGTTGAACATGTAACGTGGGCAGAGGCAGATGATATTTTTACAATTACAGTTCCTATATAGTTATGTTTGCAGATTTTTGCCTTGTGTGGCAGTCTTATGTCTTCTGTTACCACTGTGTTTTTTTTTTATTGTCCATAAAAATGAAGATTAGAGCAGCAGAACATTGTCTCCGAAAGTTAAAGGAAAGTCAAATGGCAGTGGAAGTCATCAGCAGCTCTTTTGGATACCTAAGATGGATAAGACAAAAACTGCTTTCTGGTATTAGGAAACAAACAAACAAACAAATAAAAAGGCAGTTAGAGAAATTAGCTCTTAGGACACTAAAGCAGCCCCCCTTCAGCCTTGTTGTAAAATAGTGAGTAGCAGATGTGCCACTGAGTCACATTCGAAGGAAGAGATGAGCTGAGGAAATATTTACACAGAGATTTGGAAGGACTGTACATTGCACCTTCTTAGTAGCAGATTTTTTGTTGTTTTTAGGAACAGTTAAAGAGAAGCTTCAAAGGGCAGGTTCCTTCTTGATTTGGAGAGGTGAAGTCTTTTCTCAGTGATTATTGGAGATTATCTTTTAAAAAAAGGTAACTGAAAGGTCTGAATTCACCCCCTGTGCTAGTTCTCCAAGGCAACAGAATGACACCTGGAAAGAATTAAGGTTTAGGATGGCAGCACGAAGGGTAGAACCCTTGGCAGTTTTCAGTTGTCAGTTGTAGTTTGCTGCTTGTCTTCCCTTCACAAGACACATAAATACTGTACCATACCATCATCTGTGTAAAACTATCCCTTTGCTACACATCTCTGTCATTTCATAGTATTAGTGGAAGTCTTTGTGAACAGAAATCCAGTTCTTAGGGTAGAAGCTGGAGGTGAGAACATCACTCGCTCTGCCAGAGACTTACCTTCTAAACTTAGTCAATGCACGAGCTCTCTGTGCCCACCTTACAATAAATAACATCTTACTCTATAAAAAGTGGTTAATCAGCATGTTTACTTCATGTTTAAGTTGCTAATAAATCCAAGTAGCAGTGGCTGATCTTCGTCACTCAGTGGTAGTACTCAATGTGTTTTGCTAATCATGGTGGGAAAAATGCAATGGATACAAAGCTGGGAAATAGCCTGAAGTACCACGGGACCCAAATACCTGGACAGCTCTTGAGATATGAACCTAATCATTTCAAGGTTTCCAAAATTGTAATGACTCATGGGTTTGGGCACTTTTTTGTATTTAGATGTTTTTGACCAGTGTGGAATAAACAATTCCATCATCTCACAAAGGGAGAACTTTTTGTCAGATAAGGTTTATTTCAAAGTCAAAGAGGTACAAATACACTTGAATTTGTTACCAGTGAGCACTCAGTAACTTCAAACCATGCCTGTCCTTCAGGCTGATCTAATTCACGAGTGTGTTTTGAAATGAGGATATTTCCACAGAGACGAAGTCTTAGAAATGGGGAAAAAAAAGCAAAACCAAAAACAAAAATAAGAACAAAACCATGAGAACAATGTTCATGTATGTGTGGAAAATGGATGAGAACTTAGGCTGAGATTTTAACCAAAACCTCAGTGAATTAATCTGTTAAAACCACACTGGAAGGTCCAATTTTGAAAACCAAAGGCTTTCTGACGTCAAACTATTCCAATAAATAATTCAACAGAAAAAGGAGTAGTGAATATTTTTTCTTTCAATAAAATTAAGTACTGAGAAAAATAAATAACAAAGCCTGTGAATGACAATAAATATTGCAGTTAACTTTTTAAAAGGATTTTTTTTTTTTTTTTTTAATATGGTAAGATTCCAAAGGAAAAATAGGAAAAATGGAGATGAAGATGCAAACAGATTCTTAATGGTAAGAATTTCAATTTGAACCAGATCTGTACTGAAACCTTCCCAAAAATCCACAGAGGTCATTAAGGCTAAAACTGGAAGTTCTGGGTCTTTAAGAATATTCAGATTTGTTAATATTTATAGATCAAGTGATCACCAAGATGAAAAAAAAATTGTTGCCAGAGGAACAAAGGCTCATAGGGATTTTGCAATAACAGTAGGTGCAACTCTTTAAATAAATTATTGTTGGAACCTTGGATCATACCGCAAATAGGTGGATATTTCAAATAATTCTGCATACATGTTCTTTCAAATATCAGGCATGGTTGTAATAAGTCATTGCTTTCTCAACAGTTTTACAGAATAATCTACACAGTCAATTCCCCACCTTCAGAAGACTGACACTTTACTGAGAAATGTGAAAATGGTTTTCAAACATTTTTACTTCTCCCTCCACTAAAAGAATTTGAATTTATTCACATTTTGAAGTAGAGAACCGCAATTAAATTTCTTCACAGTACATTTTCATGAGACAAATCTGCATAAGTGACACAGTCAAATATTTATTTTTTTCCCCTTTTTCTTTCTACCCTTTAGTTTGGACAATAGAAAACGAATTTCCTTTTCACTTTTAATCCGTGGATGCCTATGTCCACACTCAAGTATTTCACGTTCTGGAGTGGTTCCACAGTGAAGAAGATGGTGCTGAAGAACATCACTGAAGAACATTCACTTGATTTTAGCACAGAGGTGCTGGAGTGACAAATTAATTCACCAAAGTTTAGTTTCTGTTATGCACTTAGCTGATATTAGTGAGTTAAGGAGTTCGAATCCCATGGAGATGCATGTATTTCCCTCATTTCCCTGCAAAGAGGGAGCCTAGATTGATGGTATTAAAGTAGATACCTAAGTTACATACTTGAGCAAAGACAAATCTGAGCAAAGTCATAGGAATTTTTTGTTTTGTTTCAGATTTCCTCACACAAGGAAATAGGGACTCAGCTAGATTTAGCATGCTTTCTCACCTTGATGACAGTGTCCTTATTGATCTCAAAAGGGACAGTATCATGCCATAAATGTTTTGTTTTCTTCCATACGTTTGAAGAGTGAGACTGATCAAGTTAATCACCTGGTTCCCTACATCATAGATGTAAATGCCTTTGGAGAGTTTTTACAGTCTCTGAGTTGATAAATCTAAAGCAGGTCATGAAGAATGTTGTGTGTCTTAACTAGCACTAGAAAGTTACAAAGAATATGAATGCTTTTACTCTTGTCTTCCTTTATATCTAGTTAAAAAAAAGACACACTTTCAGGGCATGATTATTTTGAGATGGGATGAACTGTACACTGTTAAGTACCTTTCCCTCTTTTCTGATTATGGGGAGCAGAGGGTGACTAGTCCAGTAGTAACCATATGCAGTATGAAACACCACCATTAAATACCAGTTATTATTGGTGGAGAAAGGCGTTGAACTTCCAGACCCTTCACATCTGTCTTAGAAACTTGGTGTGCATGTCAAGTGGCCACTCATACATTTGTAGTCCTGTCCTAAGGGGTCCTCCAGCTCCTCAGGAATACCAATCTCCTTGTGTCATTTCTACCAAAATTGTGGCTTTCTTAGATACCCTAAAGCATCTCAAATGACTCTAAACACTTACATGTGGACAATTATATTTCTTTTCCTGCTGTAGAAAGAGACAAATTATCTTTTTATCTTTGGGAAGAAATAAACTGATTCTGTTGATTTTAGAAAGGGTTTACTTGGTCAGCATAACCCCACCTTATGGCATCAATCCTTCCTAATTTTCTCAATAAAATAATAACAGAGAAACAAGAAAAGGAATTGAAGGAATGTTTCATTGAAGAATCCAGAATATGGCTGCAAAATGCCTCCGGACTCAAAGAGGCTTGAGTTCAAACTACATCTCCAATGTTTCCTTTGTGAGGATGTGTGCTGAGTGATAAATAAATATTTCAGGAATATATTAGTAAGATTGTTAGCCACTTAACTGATGTGGACCATGCCAATCTGACATATATGTCATTTTGGTATTATTTTATAGAATTTTTTTTGTGTAAGTGAGTGGATTCTCTGCACCTCAGCTGGATTTCCAAAGACAGTAAAGCTGCAGAACAAAGCTGCTGGAGAAAAGAAAGTACCATAAAATGAAGGCAACACAAAAGAAGACTCCGATTGCCTGCATTGATCCTGTTGAATAGAGACCTGGGTATGGCAGACTGCGACGTTGTGGGGCCAGGGACTGAGAAGACAGAGAACAGAAGCCCATACAGTCTTTTAATCTGAAGTTCACAGGGAGATCAGGGCTCTTAATGAAACTATTGAGGCGTGTTGTTTTTCATTTAGTCTGCCATATTCTGCTCACAGGAGACGCTTCAGTTGCTGCTTGAATAGCCAGGACAGATTCCTAACAGGTTCTGGCCTCATTTCAGTGCAGCTTTGTCATACATTCCCATGTGGGGAGATGCAGCCCCCAGCACCAAACAGTTCATCTGTCCCACGACCTGTGGATTCCTCTCTTGCCAGGTTTCCATATTGTCTTCCCAGCGATGAGTGGGTCAGGCATTTCTGATGGACCAGAGGAAGCCCTTCTTCCAATCCATCCAGCATGCAAGCAAAGCCAGTATGTTGGAACTGCATGTCCCACAACTGATGTGCTGGCCCTAACTGTGCTGCCGGAGAAGAAAGTGCTTCACATTAGCCTGCAACAAACGCCATGTGTCACCTCAGCCAAGTCCAGAAGTGCTTATAAAAAACAGTGTTAGTGTATCATTCAGAACAATCAAATACTACATGCACGAAAAGTAGTTTTAGAGCAACATAAATTTTAAAAAAAGTGACAATTTCATCACACAATTACTGTACACTGCTGTTCTTAGGGTTGAATACTTTCCTCTCTCACGCTCTCTCTTTCTCTCTGTTTTAATCTTTCTCTTTTTTCTTTTCCTTTATTTTTTTTCTTTTTTCTTTTTCTTTTTTTTCTTCTCCCCCCCCCCCTTCCCAGTTTTTTGTTTGTTTGTTTGTTTTGTTCTTTGTTTTGTTTTTTGTTTTTTGTTTTTTGCTTTTTTTTTATTTGGTCCACTGGAGATAAATCGCCCTCAATGATATATATATTTAAAAAAAATATCAGCAGCAAGACTCTCTTGAAATAGATTCTGTTTGATGTAGCTAGTCTGTCTTTTCTGTTTTGCCCTCTTTCACAGCAGCCTCTGAAGTTTTCCGTAGGGGGGCTTTCTCCGAGTTGGCGTGTCCTTGGCCGGATTCCGCCGCTCCTCCGTTTTTGTGCGATGTGTGCTTTTCCAAGTAGTTCAGCATTTCACTGAGAACAGTTTGGAAAGTGCTTAGGGCAGCACATATTGCAGGAGTTCCAAAACCGTGAGTGATCAAACTGCAGATGGGAAAGAGAAAGAAAAAGAAATGCACGCACGAGCGTAAATATATATAGACTTACATATGTAGAAGTGTTTACAGTACACATATTTTAGACCGAAAATCGAGACTTACTCCCTAAACTATTTATTACCTGTGAGAGAAACAGAAAATAAAAGAGCAGAGCAGTGAGAGCAGACTGCATACAGCTTCAAAGGTTGCTTTTGGTAGGAGCATCACTTCTGAAGCACTGTGGGACAGATCTGTGGATTGCAGATTGACACGGTATTGTTGACTTCAGAGCCAAGAGGGGATCCATGCCCTAGGCTGCCCAGCACTGCTACTTTTCCAGTCCCAGAAGGTCTGGCTCCCCTTTCCTTAGGTGAACAAAGCCAAGTCTGTGTGGTTTATTCACAGGTCAGACTTGCAAGCAAGCTCTGATTATTCCAATTATTCACTGGATATGGCTCTGGGCAGCCTGGTCTAGTGATTGGTGACCCTGCATATATCAGGGGGGTTGAAACTAGATGATCATTGTGGTCCTTTTCAACCCATGCCATTCTATGATTCTATGATGATTCTATGATTCCATGTGGAGGCATGTACGGTTGGAAATTAAACAGTGCCAGAGCAATTGGCATAGTTTGGTCATGATTGTGATTGCTAAGCTCCCTGAGCATCCAACAGTGTGGAGTCCAAACTGCCCTTTGGGAATAACTCTTGGCCCAAACAATGCCCAGGAAATCATCGTAGAATCATAGAATAGCTTGGAAGGGACCTCAAGGATCATCAAGCTCCAAGCCCCCTGCCCCATGCATGGCCACCAACTTCTATATCTAATACTGGACCAGGATCAATGAGTTGTAAAAATAACCAGTTTCCAACACTCTTGCCTTGGTGGTGTTGAATTTCCTAGGGTGGATTTACCTTATTGCACCTTTAGTCCATATAAGCCATTTTCTCAAGATAGCAGTTTGTTCTTCATGTTTTTTGCACTGTAAGGTGTCTGAATTTCAGTAGTGCTTTTCACATAACAGTTACTGAACTGAAGCCTTAATGGAGTCGCCAAGCAATCTTATAGGGGGTAAATCTCATTTAAATTTAAAGATGCATTTCAGTGCACATATAGGTACATACTGCATTTAGGCACCCAGCTTGGCTTCTATTTGCAGATCCTGAAATACTCCTATTTTCCACAGTTTTCTGTGCCAGTCATCAGCTCTGCAAGGATTTCAGGATGTCAGAAATAGCATCAGAGGTCAGGTTTTAAGCAAGTGACTCCAGTTCTGTCTGTCCAAATTATGTGTGTGCAGTGTCAGGTGGTACTAGACACCTTCAGATGGGTAACTACATTCTTTTCATTCTTATAATGAATAATTTTGATAAGTTCTGGGTGGAAGAATGTGAACAAAAACAGAAGTAAAGAAACCCAAAGCAAACAAACATAATCCTTCCAAATGTTTTTCTTCCATTTAAAAACGTTAAGTGGAAAACTACTTCAAATGTTGAAATATCATTGCAGTTTTAAAAATACTTATTTCAGTAATAAAAATTATTTCGTCCTGTTCTAGTTAAGGTCTTCTCCCCCGTGTAACTGCAGGTGTCTGAAGCACGACATCAGTAAACTCCAATTTAATGCACAGAGCCATGCGTAGGTCAGAAATAGGAACACTTCAATGGGAATTCCTCTGCTCCACATTTTGGCTTCTCAGTCTTTAAAGCTGTTTTAGAAAATAGTGGAAAAAATAGTGGTCTGGGGAAAAGAGTTTATACAAGACATGGACGACTGCCAAGATGTTGGACATATCAAAAACAAGCATGGGAAAGACTCCAAGATGTCTTTCAGGGCTATCTTCCTGTCTCTGCTGGATGTGGGAACCTTGTTTGTTGGGAATGCTAAGAAAGACACCATGCTTAAGGAAGTCCTAACTAAAAGGAGGGCTCAGTGTGGAACTCCGTCTCTGTTTCAGACTGGGAACTGCCCAGTCATTTATGAAGGATGTTCTGAAAGCAATTAAAAAAATAGCTCACTTTTGGAATGTTTGTCCACCAGTTTTCCAGTTGCTTTTCAACGCAGGAAGCAATGTTTATTCCTGGTTAGTAGTGAGAGGAACATGATAATGAAATATTTACGAGGACTGTTTTACAGACATCAAGTAATGATACCCCATGACTTTTGAAGTTTGGACTTACAGTAATATCTGAACCTTTTAAAGAAAATGTATTTAATTTTGGGATAATTTTTAAAATTTTGTTGTTATTATATACTTTTTTGAGAACTGTCTGGCATACTAAAAAAAGAAATCATCATAATTGTCTTCTCTGTTTAATGTTTGCAAAACCAATAGCAGCTCAAGCATAAATATAAGAGTATTTTTAGCCCTGCTAAAAGTCTTGTTGTATGTCCAAGTTGTAAAAGGCCAGTATTAATGGGTCAGGTGATTTAAAGATTTTGTGTTGGAATTTATCTTCATTTTTATCCTTTGCAAGTCTGGAGAAATGAAAATGTGAAGGAGCTAACATTATCAGAAAGCAAGACAAATAAAGTCCAAATACATCAGTACCAGCTATAATATCTCATGGTTTTTACATTGCTTGTGTGGTCTTCTGAGCCATGTTTTGGGGAACTGACTGAACCAAGAAATACGTAAAATATTTATGAACTTATGTGCGAAAGAAACCAGTTATCTGTTTAAGAAGTACCTACAATCATCCATTTCCAGTAGATAGGAATAGTAAGTTTAACAAAGGATTGACTAGAAAAGAATCCTCTTGGCCTTTTTGTCTTTGAACATTTCCACTCTTGAGCAAAAGGAATAGTGCCGTGTTCATATAATAGCTCAATATGCCCTGAAGAGTGAAGTGGGAATACTACAGTGAAAACTTGGAGAGAAAAAATAGGGCTAAGAATGAGTGTAGAAAACGTTCTCAAATGCTGAACAAGACTGCAGTAAGCACCAGAATGGGACAAAATATGATATTTAGGTGTGTAAGCAAAGGTGACAACTTGTAGCTGTATCCAATGATAGTGCCTAAACTCCCTTTACAATCAAATTGACTTAATTCAGTTTCCTACATGGAAGAGTCTTCATTGATTTGAGATGCCCTATGGCACCTGAGTCATTCATGTGGAATTGGTCGACAAGATACAGAATTTCTTTATGTTCACATTGCTTCTAGGTGTTCAGAGGCCAGACACTTTTATGGTTTCTTTTATGCATCTTTACATGTTCATAGCAGATGCCAATGTTTAGGCAACTGAACTGAGTCCTGGGGCTTTACTCAATACAGTCAGAGATGTCTGGAGTCTGGCACTTGAAAAAGAGACATCTCCTTTATGAGAAGCTACTCCATTGATTCTGGCTGCAACTGTGAAGCTGAGTAAGAACGTGTCTTTGGTGCCACGTCAGATGCCTTATGGTAACAAGATATTTGTGCCAAGTGTGTGTACAGGAGAATAGCGACATTTAAAAGAAGCAATGAGCTGATGGTACACCTCATAGCATCTGAAAAGAAGTTGCATGCTATTGTTTCCTGAGCGGTATCTTTTCACAGACAGTCAAGTCTCTTGTCTACCTGGGAATCTTCAGCACACAGCTGATAAGGAGATGCCTTGATGTCGGTATTCCAGTCTGAGCAGAATCCTGAATGTGTCTGAAAACTAATGCTTATAAGAAAAGGATTTTCTGGGATAAGCTATGGGTTTATCTCCTTTATAGATCTGCTTTATGGTATCTTACATACCAAAAATAGTAATAAAAAACCAGATTTTTAAAAAAGATTACTTTGTATTTCTTATTAAAACTAAACGAAACAAGAAAAACTCAACAACCTTGAAATAGCACTGAAGTCTAATGATAACACAAGTTTTGCTTCCCGTTGCATGTGTTCTTCTCCATAGATGGAGTTATGCAAAACTTATTAAATTTCCCATGATGCTTCTTGAAAGAAACTATTTTATGGAAAATTTCTGACCAGCTCTCCATGTTATACTCCTATGAGGGTATATTTTTTTTGGCCCCACTTTATGTAACGAGCATAGGAAGGCAAAGAGATACTATCTGCTATTTTATCTTACATTTTTATCAGTAATTCCCACTACTCTAATTTTGGCAAGCTTTGTTTATCTGCAAGTCTTTGAAAAATCTAAGAAAGTTGGATAATATCCCTTTGCTGATGAAAGTAAGTTTCAATCTAGGGAGAAAATCTGATTTTACATTTAAATCCCAGGCAAAACAGACAGAAGACTAATAGCAAAGTATTAAAATGTTTCCTGAAAGTCATATTTAATTGCATGATTTTTAGACTGACTGAGCTCCCACTAAAGTCAGTTCATTTTTGGTGCGCTTCACACCTACAAAGAGAATTGCTTTCATTATAAGACTTTCATTTGTGTTTAAGATCCTAAAATTAAACACAAAGGTTTTATAATGGAATCATCTGGGTATTCACAGCTTTCTAGTACGCTTCATTGCAACTCCTGTAAGCAAGAAACTTTATTGTTCTAAAAGGTAAGGCTAAAATGTCTGATTTGGGTACTATTCACAGAGAGATTCATACAGAAAGCTGTGAATAGCAGGCCAACATATTATAAATCCTTATGCTTAAGGACATCCAGATCTCCCTGCAATCCTGCCTGGTGCTACGATGCAATTATGTCTGCTCATGTTTTAAAGATGGCCTTACTTAAAAATGAAAAGATCCAGCTCTGCCTGAAGGCTTGGGTTCTCATTTGGCACCTACCTCAAGGACTCCTCCATACCCTAGGCTGGTGAGACTTCGACTTGTGGCAAAAGAAACAGATTCTCTCTCTGTGGGGGGCAAGAGGCCATCTGCACTGAATGTTTACAGCCTCATTTAAAATAAATAAATACTTCAAAACAACAAAGAAAAAAGCAAGCTCGAACTCATTGTTTGAAATTTCCCACAATTTTTAAATGTGAAGAACCAAATTTAACAATGCACTGCAGATAACAAGTAGTGAAATCTGATAAGATTTTGGATGGCTGTAAATGAGAT